TTTTTTAACGGAGGAAATACTTACATTTGCGGGTTTCTTTGGTCGCTTGTTCAGCCATCTTGACGGTTTCTGTTTTTCTGATAACACTCCGTTTGAAGTGTACCTCTGAAAAAGCTCCGTTTGTAGGGCCATGTAGCCCTAACACTGCACCCCCTTCTATCTCAACAAAAATTGGGACACTCTAACCCTAGACGTGAACGCGCAAAACAGAGGGCTAAGGGCTAGAGTGGTAGGGGCAAGGGGTGAAATGGGATTGGGCCTAAGCCTCTTAGAAAATAACCAGATCAGAGAAAATAACATGAGTATAGTTTAATTTTTAATACTGATTATACAATTAATATTAATTTAAAGTCTATAAATAGTATATGGATGTCATTTAATACCAGTATAATGAAAATAGTTGCCACTGTAAAAAGCTGTAGATGTGTAGGACTGTAAATGCTAAAAGAAAAAAGTTGATAACATACAAATGTTTATTCCAAGGGGCTGTAGTCATGTCCCTGCATTTAGCCTAGTAACCTGTTGTTTAGTAGGTGTACAAGAGAAAATGGTCAGTGAGATGTACAGTGCTGTACCTAATAATCTGGCAGTACTGTGAAGTGTCTTGCTGGTGTGTATTGTAGTGCCCCACTACTGGCTGCTGTGCCTCTGAGAAGCTTGGGTGGCGTGGAATTACGAAGGGCCACGCGAGGAGGCTTATGGGAGGTGCGTACCCTCCGGAAAAGGGACTTAATGTTGTTGTCTGTTATTTAAAACGTGTTATATGTTATTTTATGTCTGCAGTATGAGTTGTTGTGTGTGAGAACCTATGGTAATTTGGTGACCACCATCCCCGATTTGACTTCTGCTGGTACCCCACGGCAGAATCATGGCCTCCCCTGTGTCATACTCTGCGCCAACCCCGCAATATTTTCTTACTGTGCCAACATTACTGCAAAATATGAGTGCTTTAAGTGCCACAGACACGACTGAGAAGTCTAAAGCAACTTAGTGCAACTAGGCTAAACGTAATTCAAGCCTAATGCCTCTTTTATTTGATGCGTAGTGTGGTTTGATCATGAATACAACATTTTGTAACTCACTGAAAGCTGTAAGATATAGAATATGAAAGCAGAATTATTGCTTTATAAAATGGAAACAGATTTTGGGTTATTGTAACTGGTAGTTGATGGTCTGGAGGTTTATCAGCAGTGAAGATGCTCAGTCATTTTATGTAAATGTAATCCGCTCTTCTAAATCTGTAATGGCATGGATTTTATTTTCTCTCTTGTTGGTATTTTTGGCATAATATGAAGCAAGTAGTGGCCTTATCTTTTGCAGCCTTATCATAAGCACCCGTCATTAAGTTCTTACCTTTCAGTTGGATTACGGTGGTGTGAGTGCATCATGAGTCTGTGCAGGTTTGTGATATCCTCTAAAGGGTATGCTGATAACCTGCCTTTTGATCTGCGATTCGGTGAGCTTGATCCAGACTGTTGTCTCAGCCCAACAGATGTCTGCCTCAAATGATTAATTCCTAGCCTCAGGCAAAGCTTAATGCAGATTCACCATGGAGCTACGAAATACCAAATTACCTCTTTGGAGAAATAACAGGGATGTGAGATGAACAGAATATATATCATTGTAATTAAAGATTCTCTTTTGGTCACTCACTCAGTACTGGTGATGTTGTTGTTGTTATTATTATTATTATTATCATTATTCACTCTTTTTAGTCAAGCTTTCTTGAACATTCACCACAATGCATTGTATTATATTTGTATTATGCATCTCTGTATATTAGCAATATATTTATTGCTTATTTATCTTTTTTCAGAATGATTGTTTTCAGGTAATTCTAGAACTTTCTATGAGCTGTGGATGTGGAAGTTCATTGTGTGATTTGTCATTATTATTATTTCATGCATAACAGTCTCATTAGTCTATTCTTAAGACTATAATTTTTTATCGAGCATCCCTGCATTCGCACCATTTTGCTTTTCTGAACATTTTGTTGGAGATCATTGCTTTGTGGATGTCTTCATCACTCTTTTACCCTCTCATTTCTCTGGGAATTGAGTCACTATGGACAGGTTCTGTTTACCTTGCTAGTTCACAGAAAGTTAAAAGGCATGTTTTTTTCCTGTGTGGACTAGCATGGCATTTTGCTTCGATTGATCAGTTCAGGAGATTTGACCTTGCCTTAACTGATGGTATTTCATTATTAACCAACAATATGTACACATTCTCTTGAGGAATTAGAGCATGCTAAGGCCTCAGTAGGGAGAGATGAGTCTTCGAACTTAAATTCCATCTTCCATCATGCCACTGTAGACAAACCACCAGACCATTTGACTGTGCTAGCTCTGCCATTAGTGGGGTATTACTGCTTACCCCTTAGAGAGGGTAAAAGCTTATTTATTTGTATTAGAAGAACTGCAGATGAGAATGATCATTGTAGCTTCCTACCTTATTTATGTAAGCCACTCAACCTCCACTCTTTTCAGGCTGTTACTAGATCTGCAGTAAGATCTGTGATTTTTTTTTTTTTATGATTAACCCCAGTTCTTACTTGTACTTCTAACCTGAGATCTAGGTATTTTTAGAAAGTGGACATTTAGAAATATTGGGTCTTTCATCCGAGTAAGAGTAGTTCTACTTTGAAATGCTCAGCCTTGCTGTGATTTCCACTGTTTAAGAGATAGCATATTGTATCAATGGGTATTGGTCTCAGGCCGATATAAGCAGAAAATGCTAGATTTGCTATCAGAAGGCGAAATGTGAATTTGATCACGTTCTGTAACAAACCTAGCCTGCAATAGCACACACTCATATGGGTGATTTTGTTAGCTGTGTATTTCTGTAGGGTAGCAGAGTGTTTCAGCAGTTCAAGCATGAGCCTACTTTTAAATGATCATTTTTAGTGAAGTGCTAATCAGGCATGCTTATTCATGCTTATTCAAGAATCTTTCATAGATTCCTTGATTTCATAACTTCATTGAAAGATGCTTTGCTACAATTTTTAATTGCCATACTGCATTCATTGGTTGGTATCTATTTCCGGTGAAGCATCTTAAACATCTACTGTTTATTGGTTTCTTATTCTTAAGTATGTGATTCTGGACAAACTCTACTAGTGGCTACTATTACTAGACAAGTTGATATTTTCACTCCTGCAATGCCGAGTGTACTATCCTAAAACTCCATGACAAATCAACTGTCGTCTTAGCTGGTCACCCGCTCTGCCAGCGGTTTGGTGACCTCCCGGGCATGATTTCAGGGATCTCCCGCTGGAGACATCCGTGCAGCTGTCACTTGAGGTACGACTTGCACATTTGCAAGGTTTTACCATCTGGATGTCCCTGCACCTTCACTTGCGTGATGTGAGCTGCAGGCAGGCACCAGTGCAGTGTGGCAGTGGGGAGTCCTTATTCACGATCTTACTTTCTGAATCTGTTCCGCTGCCATTGCCTGTCTTTTGTTTTCACTTGTCAGAGCTTGTTGAACAATCTTATTAGAGAGCTGTGTCTAAGAAGTGACCGGAATGTCCTGTTTTGTGCGAATCCCTGGACATCCAAGTGTATGAGGAAAACCCAAGAACTGTCTATTAAGAACAGTCTTGCACATTTTCCAAGAAAAATGAGGTTTCCTACAAAGTTAGATGTTTCGCAATGGACAATGTTCTTCATAGCCATATTGTATGGTTATACTTCCTAATTCTGCTCATACAGCCTCAGTATTGTCGTCATACTCTGGTGTGTCACTGTTACTGTTGTCTATCTTGTTTATGTATTTACTGAGCGTTCTTGGCTGTTAGTGTAGCTTGTGTTTACATTTGCCTGTATGATATCTCTGTTCAACAGACTGGATATACAGTGATCACCCTGAGATGAGGGAGATTAAACAATGGATGGAAATGAGAAAGAGAGAGAGTGAGCTGTAGGAGGGAGGAGGGGGACTGGGATAGAGAGAGGGGAGGAGATATGGGAAGGCACTTGCCTCTTATATTTCTAGTGGCCCCGCACACTCTTCGCTGGACCACTCTGTTTTGTGGTCAGCGGACTATCAAACATCTTCATCTCAGCTTCTCTGCTACGCATCTCCTCTCCAGAAGCTCGCCAGATTCAATGCCGAGATTTTGGTTATAGGTTTCTGGAAATGGCTAACATTACTTTGCAGATCGACAAGCAGCACCCATGCATGGAAAATTAATTTTTTTATCCCTTACATATCTGGAACAATTTCTAGACTTGTACTGAAGGTAAGATGTTTTTTTTTGTTTTGTTTTGTTCTGCTAGATTTTCTTTGTGAAAAAAAAATCTAGCATTGACATTTTATAGATTCAACAGGTGTTTGTCTCTACATTACCATCATTTAGTATATAACTCTATATGCTACTTTATGTCTAAATCACTGAAGGACCCATCAGAGCTTTTCTTTGTTTTATATTTTTTTTCTACAAATTTAGTTTTATTTGTTATTTATTTATTTACTCATTTTGTAAATCATGTTGAAAAGCTCACTGTATATATATATATATATATATATATATATATATATATATATACTATTATATATATATATATATATATATAATGTATTACTAAAAATCGGTACTGATTTAATTGCGTATTAGTTTTCTGGTTATTGTTAATGTGCCATAATTTTGATATAATAGAATTTATTGAGAATTTTATTAAGAATTTATATAAAGTTCTTAATAAAAGTTATGAATTTGTAAAGAAAAGCATCGCTGCATGGGTTCTCCATCCTGTTTGTAATTCGTTTTACAGCTGTGAACCAACGCAGGTGCGTACACAGCAGCCCGTCATGTCGGGAGCGTTTCGAGTTTGTAAATGATCTAACATCAACATGGCTGCCTCGCTCCTCCTTTCCCTGCTCCCTCCCTTCCTCCCTCTCTCCTTCTCCTGTACTCTTGCTGCTGTCATAGAGGCTGCTGAACCCGTTGCAGGAGGCACCATCTCCGCCCTGCCAGTTCCTGAGGCCCAGCCTAGCACCCCATGCCCAGAGGTAGACTGCCGGCCGCACACATGTCCTCTGTCATCGCCCCTGCCAAGCCCTCCAGCACTATGGGCCCCAAAGAGGTGGAGCTGATTCTGGTGAAGGAGCAGAATGGGGTGCAGTTCACCGCCTCGGCACTGGTCACCCCCACCGGCCAGACCCACCCATCTGGCGAGCAGCGTGAAACCTGGGGTAAGAAGATTGACTTCTTGCTCTCGGTCATCGGCTTTGCTGTGGACCTGGCTAATGTGTGGAGGTTCCCCTACCTGTGCTACAAGAACGGTGGAGGTAAGATTCAGATATTGATTCCTTAACATTTACTAACCCTCCAATGGATGTATTTCTCACTGCCATAACTTAACAATAACTCAGTCATTTTGCATTCTTTTCCGTGTAGTTGTTGAATAATAAGCCTTCGGATGTGAACCCCTGTGAACCTTGAGCTCTGATGATGTACCAAGTAAAACTGAACATTGAAATGTAATGAGATATTAAGAAAAAAAGAAACAGTAGTCTCTACAGAATGTAAGATGATAATGGTAAGTGAAACATCAAGGTTGTCTGTGACCTTATGACCTTAGATAATATCTTAGTAGGACAGACAGCCTTTTATTCCAGAAATAATCTGCAAGAAACAACCCGAAACAGCTTACTAATCCAATACCTCTAAGGAAACCAACTGGAGTCTTTTTTTTTTTTTTAATAAAATTTTCTGATTATTTGTCGTATGGGGGGGCATAAGTTTATCATATCTGTCCCTCGAGCATACCACAGATATATTTTCACTGGTTGTGTAACTATGCTCTAACTTTTCTGACCACTGAGCTGCTCTTGACTGGATATTTTTGTGGACCACTCTGAACCTAGCAGTGACACTGATGTGTGTAAAAACCCAAAAAGACTGGTGTGCCAGCACCACACACACTACCATGTCAGTGTCACTGTTGTGTTAAGAATGATCCCCCACCCTAATAATATCTGGTGATCAGCCGTTCTGTGGTCACAAACTGAAAATGGGGTAAGGGAAGGCTGACAAATTGTGCTTGACAACAGATTGGTCTGTACATCTAAATAGTGGACCTATAAGATAAGTGGACCTCATAAAGTGGTCAGTGTGTGGAAATACAAGGTAAGTAGTTTTTTTATTTTGTTTGTTTTATTTTCCAGGTGCCTTCCTGGTGCCCTATCTGCTCTTCATGGTCATTGCAGGAATGCCGCTATTCTATATGGAATTAGCATTGGGTCAGTACAACCGGGAAGGAGCTGCAGGTGTCTGGAAGATTTGTCCTATCTTTAAAGGTAACGCTGTAGCGATGTTCTCTTGATTTCATTGCGCTGAGATCAGTTGCTGAATAAGGATTATGTACCATTTTGATCTCTTAAATCAGGCAGTTTTCAACATGGTATCATTCTATAGCCTGCTTCTTGGCTTGTGGTGGGTGGATGAGCACAGATGTGTGTGGGATAGAGTGTTTGTGTCCCTTGTCATGAAAGGACGTGGTCAGTCAGCCAAAAGACAGGTACCGTTTATCTCCGGCTGAAAACACTCACAGTCAAATGGGAGACAGTAAAATTGGCTTTTAGTATCAAATCTGCTCAGCACGTCTTCTCCCTCATCTGGTAGCAAGCAAATTTTCTGCCACTCTTGCTATGGAACAGCCGTGAGATTAGCATGCATGATGGGGCGTTGGCTCACAGCGACCTTCCCTGTCACTTTTTCCAGAACTTTTGGCAGCTGTTCTTGATCCTGCCTATTGGTGTTGGTGGTTCCAATCAGAATGGCCATTAAATAAAAGTTTTTCATTGCAAAAGTCAAGAAAAAAGCTTAAGTACATATTTAATAGAAAATTACACAGAAGCCTCAACAACTAAATATCATACCAGTTTTTTCAGTATGTAGTGTGTCCACCTATTGCCTTTACTACAGCTTCTATTCTTTTCAGAAGACTTGATTTCAGTTTTTCAAAGAAATCTGCAGACATATTTTTGCAGACATCCAAAGTCATCCAGTCTTAGAAATTTGTTGCCTTTTCTGTCTAATAGTTTCTAGTAATGACAATATTCTGCATAGACTGCTTGTAACACTGTTAACATCTAATAGTTCCCTGTATGTGTTTGGTTGGAAGCCAAAATATTGCCTTGGCACCCTTCTTCTGGACACGCTTGTCCATTTTAATCCCTTTTGCATGTATCCCAGCATTCTTTGCCAGACTGAATTCTGTGTTATAATTTTTCCAAGTGGTGTTCAAAGTATGTATGTGTGTAGGCAATTGGTAATGTTCTGTTTGCATGACCTCTAAGCTTTTCTATTGTGTACATTTTTGAACTAACAATTCCATAATTGAACATTTTGAACTAATAAGTCCAATCAAAGGGATAGTTAAATAAATGGGAAGCAATTTAATTGGAGCATAGCAGGATTATTTGTCTTCAGTTTAATGTTCCACCCCCTTTTAACCTAAAGTGTAGATGCTGTTTGAACCATCATCTGTCCATCACTATGTCACTAAAGATATCTGCTTGCTATAGCCATAGCGGTCTGTCAGGCAGGAAGACAGAGAAGGAGAGAGAGAAAGAGAGATAGACATCTTAATCACAAGCTCCGTTTTCTGTGCGCCTGTCACTCTGCGGGAGATTACTGTAATTACTGCTGATCAACACGTTCACTTCCTCAGGATCGATGCTCTCCAAAGCACTGAAAATCACACATGTGCAGATAATAAGGGAATTCTGTCTCTCAGTTGACAGCACTAGAGACTCTCCTGGCAGCAAGAATGACTTATTAGCGCAGGGTGTGCTTGCAGACAGAGACCTATTGAACTTTTTTTAGTTCAAACTTTGGAACTTAATGTCACTCGGGTCACACTGCAATGACCACAGTGTGGTCTTGGCACTGTGGATGAATGGGACGACCTGGCTTAGAGGCTGCAGATGTTGTGGTTGTTACTGCCTAGCTTGTTCTCTCTGGTACTGAGAAAAAAAATGTGAGCCATTTCTCCACCGTTTGAGCCCGAGGGGTGCCTTGATTAATCAGCGGCACTTTGGGCTGCTAATAGAATGCAAGGAAAAAACATTACACAGTTTCACAAGGGGTCGACCAGAAACATTGTGGTTTTAAACTAAAATGATATTAACGTTACTTACTCATGCAGCATGTTTTTTCAGACAGTTAAAAATAAGTATTACCTAATAAAATACACTGACTGTCCACTTTATTAGATGTTCCTAACCTTGTAGCTCCATCTGGTTAGTGTACAGTTAGCAACCTCTTTTTAGTCACTTTTAGCCCTTCATCCGTAGCCATTTTCTGACCACAGTCTGGATATTTTTGGGTGAGGGACAGCTCTGAATCAAGCAATGATGTTTACAATTACAGCATTTATCAGATGCCCTTAGAGTTTGCAATCATGCTTTGATGCCTACTTGGAAAACATGATCTTAAGCTCTTTCTGCAGGCTCTCTAGTGGTCATTCCACCAGTAGTGTGGACATTGACGCAGATATTTTTAATTAAAATAATAAGTAAAACATTTTTCCCCATACCTCTGATTAACTAGAATACTGTTGGTTCTTTGTATGTGGGATATTGTGACTCTATATTGAGCTGCTAGCGAGCAATAAGTGGCATTTTATTTTATTTTTTTCCCCAGGGATTTTTAGCAGTTTAATGATGTGTGTAAAAACTCCAACTACGTTGGTGTGTCTGATACATCATAACGTGGTCAGTGAGTGAAGATGGGGAGTTTTAATATAATGAACGGTGAGTGTAAATAGTTTTTAATGCCTTCTTTTCAGGCGTAGGATTTACAGTGATCCTTATTTCTCTCTACGTGGGTTTCTACTATAACGTGATCATCGCCTGGGCTCTATTCTACCTCTTCTCCTCTTTCTCGGGCGAGCTGCCCTGGGTCAACTGCAACAACACCTGGAACAGTGCCAACTGCTCTGACTTGAACGCCACTTTACTGAACGACTCCCACAAGGCCACCCCGGCCTTAGAGTACTTTGAGTGAGTCAAAAATAATCACTCACATCTTTAGAAGTAGCTGATGTTTGAGTACTATGCACTGTGTTTGAAAACACAATGAAAGGTTTCCTTGTAGTGCTAGTCAAAAGTCCCAGTCAGCACCTGCTCATGACAACTTTTTTATATACTTCCACTATTTTGCACATTTGCAATAATAGTGAAGACTTATAAACTATGAAATAACATACACACTTACTAAAATAAGAAATGATGGCCCTCTCCAACTGTTCAGACCCACTTTACTTCACGAAAGATTGTTATATAATGAGATACTGTTATATACCCAGACAATTTCCAGCTAACTTAACATTCTGAATGAATATAGATAATTATGCATAATTTAATTATATCATTTATCTAATTTACTTTTATATAATTTACATTCATTTATTTATTTATCATGTTTGTTTTTTGAAAAAAAATATAGGCATCAACTTCACTAATTTTAATTTTTTGCTTATCTTATAATCAAATTTACAAGCATTTAAGCATAAGCCTAAAGATTAAAATGTCTTTAAGAAAACACACATTCAGTCTGATGCGTCCAAACGTTTTGCATTACGGCTGGTGATAATAGTGAAAGCAAAATTTGTGCTTTAAGAGTTTCTCTAATGATTGAACTGTATAGCAGTGCCATTACAAGTTCAATTTTGTGACAGCACTGTATTATTTCCACTGCAGGCGTGGGGTGCTGCACCTGCAGGACAGCGGGGGGATTGATGACCTAGGCTTGCCCCGGTGGCAACTCACGTCCTGCCTGGCTGTGGTCATCGTGGTGCTCTACTTTAGCCTCTGGAAGGGAGTCAAAACCTCTGGGAAGGTAGACTCTTCTGATTTGAAATTGAAATATAATGATATATGTTGACAGTATATTCCAAAATATTAATAGAATATTTAAATTGTAATTGTAAATTTTAATGTGTTTTATATATGTGATGTATTTTTAACGTTATATTTATTTGTTTGGATCATCATAATTGTTTATTCGATAAAGCAGATTCATTGCATGGTTTAAGTGCTGGAAGGGGATTTTGCTGTCCTGCTGCACCTGTTGTGTCTAGTTTTGTCATTTACTGTTGAGATGTTTCTCCCTGTCGAGCGGTCAGTTGTGCTGGCTAAAGAATTTTATTACGTCTATACTCATTTTGCAGAAAGCAAAACTGAATTGCATGAGTATTTACAATGCCCACTTATACGTTTATATAAGAAAAAGACAAATGAGCAAAATAAGACACTATATGCCACAGTTTGTTACTGACCCTGATTCTCTAGCCTGATGTCTGGGCTCTTGAAGATGGTAGCCACAATCTGAAAGGGGACTTTAGGAGACGGAGGGCAAACTATCTACACAGTATGTTTCTTCTCTTGGATGATTGGTAATGTGAGAGCTTGAAGGGCTTCTTGATACATAGAATAAGCCCTGCCGATGATGATTTGGCATGCAAGTTTCTGGACAGTCTCAGTCTGGTTCAGCAAACACTGTGTCAGGATTACGTGCCATGCTTGGCAGGCATAGTCTAGTATGGGACGAATATAACCAGAGTAAATCAAAGTCAGTCAAGGCATGAGCAACAGTCAAATACACTTCATAAATTGCTCTTGAAAAGTCAGTAATGATCTATATAGTGTGTGTGTGTGTGTGTGTGTGTGTGTGTGTGTGTGTGTGTGTGTAGGTGGTGTGGATCACAGCCACCATGCCCTATGTGGTTCTGACTGTACTGCTGCTCCGCGGTGTCACTCTGCCTGGAGCCATCGATGGCATTAAAGCGTACCTCAGTGTGGACTTCCTCCGCCTGTGTGACGCTCAGGTACACACACACACACACACACACAACACACCCACACACCTACTCACCTGCATACACATACAGTACGTCCTCTTATTGCTACACACACAAAGATGCAATGCATCTGAGATTTATTAAACTAAGCGTCTCCTCTAGTTCTACACCATCACACCAGCCAGCGGCCAAAGAAATCTCCATCATTTGGGTTAACAGACAGAGGAGCACTCAGCCAACTGGGGCCTCCACACCTGCGTCACATGGCAAACTGGCTTTACTTTCAACCAGCACACTCAGTTTACACTCTCTGCCATCACTGCACACATTTCAGAGCTCACAAAAGTGAGCATGTGGCCCTCACTGTAGGGACCAAATGTTTTCACAACAATACTATGACATGCTTCTAAGGCTGAGGGAGGTTTGCTCCTTATGGAAAATGCTTTTTTAACATGCAGTACATTTTTATTTGATATTTACACTAGTATTCAGAAGTTTGGGATCAATTGTCTTATTAATAATTGCTGTTAATGTATTATTGTAAATGATTAACTTTATACTATGTAATAAGCTTAATGCCAACAAATACCATAAAATATAAATACTATATTATGTAGTATTTCATGATATTCTAATTAATGTTTCAAGTTTTTGGGAGCATCACAAAGTTAAGTGATATATAATATATTGTAATTATTTATTTACAGTAATGTTTGAATAAGTTATCTGCCTAAGTTAAAATACAAGGCTTTCTGGATATTTTAGTATGTCTTTATTTTCAGTGTTTACAGCTTTTTTTTCAATCATTAAGATATAAAATTTCCTCTTTTTCACAACTTCCTACAAATTAGTTAAAATCTGTAAGTTGTAGAGTAGCAGTATCATAGAATAATTTCATACATTTATCTGCAACATTTTTATTCACAACTGTGATTCCAACCTTACAACCTGCTAGGGGAAAAGATGGCAGATATAAAGACACAGATATAAAAATAGTAATCAATAATAAACGACTCACAAAGTGTCTTTTTTGATATGCCCAGGGTGATAAACATTTTGACGTTGTGGGGATATTTGGCTTCTCCCAACAAGAGAAAACGCTTTATTCCCCAAAATCTGCAGTTGTTTATTAGAAACAGTAAAGGAGGATAAAGCTAATGTAACCACATTTACATACACGCATACAGCGGAACAAGAAACACCCACAAAGACACAAAGCACCTGAATATGCGCCGTTAAGCAGCTCGTAAGGACGACTCATTTTATTCATCTTTAAGCATCTTTCTCGTGCAAACGAAGTTGCCATTTGTCTTAAGTTTCCTAGAATCACTGTTGCTCCCCGTACAGACGCCACATTGCAGAAAGGCCTCAAAGCTGCAATTTCAGAATTAGATTAGGCACATGCAAGCAGCAGCAATTTGCAAAATTACCCCGTATTCACAAGTGCCTTTCATCTTTCTGTTGAATGAGTTTCCTGCAATTATCCCTAATGATAGGTGTTGTGTGCCGTCTTTTGTGTGGCCGGCCGGACCGTTTGTTTCGCAGGTTTGGATCGAGGCTGCCACGCAGATATGCTTCTCTTTAGGAGTGGGGTTTGGTGTGCTAATCGCCTTCTCCAGCTACAACAAATTTAGCAACAACTGTTACAGGTAAGCATAAACGCTAAAACCCAGGAGTCTCCATCACTCACACACATGTACGTGAACTCACACAAACATAGGTAAACTCCTATGCTGCCTGTCAAAAGTTTGGGGACACAACCTTTTCAGTTTACTAAATGGGCATATTTTTTGTCGGTCTGGAATACAAACAACATAACATATTCAACAGAGAGGTATTTAAATATTTGTCATTTTTAAAGAACTGACAAAAGTACTATCCTGAGAGTAGTGTCGTACCACACACATTTTATCCTCTTGTTGTGATGTCAGCACTCATCAGCACTCAAACCTTTCAGGTGTTTGAACCTTTGGAGCAAAATATTTTCAATATGTGCTTTCAACAATAGCTTGGAAAAAACAAAATAAAACTGTCAGTTCACTATTTTAACAAAACCTGCTCTGCATACCAAGGAAGACACTTTGATAAACATGAAGCTGAGAGCTACAGCACATCAAAGGGAAAATAATCAGACATAATGGGAGAATATGTATAAACTGTAAGAAAAAATGTAATAAACTGTCAACCTGGTCACTCAAGGTTGTGTCTTTAGTACCTTTAGTTAGAGCACATAATTGTAGCATATTTGATTGCAGCTATATTATAAGTTAAAGTATAAGTTACATATTTTAAATTACATTTACTCCATACACACTGACTTGATTCTGCAATTTATTTTGTTGTTTCTGTTGAATTGTTATGAAATAATGCAATAAAAGGTTATGAAAAGGTATAAATGTGCGATAGTAATGTAATGTACTGTTCATTGTAAGATCATTGTATGTTTACATTCTTTGTGTCAGGGATGTTCATGAGTACTCAAGTACCATCAATGTGTCAGTATTCAAACACTGAAATCTCTGTTTGGGTATTTGTTCCATTTCAGCACAGGAAGGTAGAGAAAATATACAGATTAATAATTAAATGCAGTTTCGTATCGAAACAGGACTGTAAAATGTGACGCTTTCGATAGTATTTGTGAGTAAGCGCGCATATTTGGGGCCAGTCTGGGCTGGTGGTTAGGGAACTAGCCTTGTCGTCGGTTCAATCCCCTGAGCGGACAGTATGTGACTGAAGTCCCCTTCAGCAAGGCACCTAACCCCCAACTGCTCCCCGGGCGCTACGGATGGGGCTGCCCACTGCTTGGGGCAAGCGTGCTCACTGCCCCTAGTGTGTGTCTTCACTTGTGTGTAAGTGATGTTTCACTGCACGGATGGGTTAGATTGCGGAGCTGAAATTTCCCCATTTTAGTAAAGGAAAATTTTGATGCAAATCCATCCAGGATATATTAGATGTCTAAATAGGTGGTGCTTAAACCCGCCTATAAAACACAGTGTATTTAGAAAGTATCAGATTCCAGAATTTCATTATTTTGAACAACTACAAAATATAGCTAGTTTTGTTATGAACAACATACTGCTGGAATTAAGGAGTAAAAATAGCTATATGTATATATATATATTGTTTTTAGGTAGATACTTATTCCATAATGTGTATATATTCCACTCCATATTTTTATTTTGCTGTCATGTATTGCGTATTATCAGGTATTATATATTGTATTGTATATATATATATATATATATATATACACATAGTGTGTGTGTATATATTCTTTATATTACTTACATTGTATATATACATTTATTATCATGTTTCTGTTATCTTGCACTACTTACCTTGCACTTTGTGGTAGGTGCTAAACTGCATTTCATGTGCAATGACAAAGATCTGTCTGTCTGTGTGTCTGAATATCTATCTGTCTATTTGTCTATTTATATGCGTGTCTGTCTATACAGACACAAATATAATGTGTGTGGTAGAAACCACATAAGCCTCCAGCCGAAAACTAAATAATCAAACTTTACATTCCAGATGTTGTATTGTATTGTAAATGTATTGGCCAATACATTTTGACTACAGAGAAAGTTAGTTAAATTTTCTGAACTATTGCTTTAAACAATGTTCATTGTGTTTTGTTTCCTGTAGAGATGCAATCATCACCAGTTCAATCAACTCCCTCACAAGCTTTTTCTCAGGCTTTGTCATCTTCTCATTCCTGGGCTACATGTCTCAGAAACACAACGTGGCCCTTGATAAAGTAGCTACCGATGGTGAGTGTATAGTTGATTTTCACTCTATGTCTATTTATATCTGGGTTTTTAACCTTTTAAACTCTGAGACGTGTATTACATCTTAAGGATTATTTTTCTCTAATTACATGGTTAACAATGCAAACTCAGTTATAGGGTTGAGGAATGCCTGGTATTGCCAGAAGTTCTGTTGATTTTAAGAGGTTAATGCCCTTACAAGTTCACTCAGTGCTTTCAGTAGCTCTATCATAGCTATCTCTATTCTCACTAATACTCCATTATGTCTCTATTGCCATGCCAATAAAACCAAATAGCCAGTCTTTGATACTAGATAATGCCTCAAAACAATCTGTATCTCTTGTAAAATGTTGCTATACCTAATATTCTGTCACATATCTTTGTCGTGTTTTAACACCTGAGAAATGAATTGTTATTGATCCTCACTCAATGTATCAATGCCTGTTACAAGTGCTATTATTCATGGTGCTGACACATTTATTGCAGATACCAAAGTCTAGCAACGGAGAGTGAATTACACCTCATAATTTTGAGTGAGAAATCAATATGTGTCAGTTCAGATACAGACCGCAATTTGTCACTGCCTTGTTTACAGCATGAAAAATATACAAAAGAAAATATGTTGTGTTATAAGGACACAACATCAGAAATTAATTTGTGAAATTAATGCATAGTGCATGAATTGTTCCCAGTTGACACTGTTATGATTGTGTTGCGATTTCAGTGAAAGACGTCAGAAAGGGTTGTAATGCCCAAATGCTGCCTAAATATAAAACTTTATATAAACCTTTTTAGAATTCCTATCCCGAGCACATTCATATTCACATCCTGATACATAAATATGATCTGGACAAGCATGCTAGGGTAAGTTGTCTAAGTCCAGCCCTGATGATGATCTAGCATATGATGTTAAGACAGTATTTATTTTAGTGTACTGCAGCTTTAGAACGTGTCTGTATTTGTAGGTCTGTGGTTAGAGATCTAGAGTTGTGAGAGGTTTTGAACCCTTTTAACCGTAATCAGGATTTCTGTGTGAATGACTCCTAGAGTGCGATCTGATCTTCATCCAAGTCAAAATCAGTTAGAGTGTTTTACTTATGGTTATTATTTTATTATAATGAGAAAGATAAAGAACAGACACATTCATGTAGAAATCAAATTCCAAGTCTAATCCAGTTCTAATAGGTTTGGAAACCTTTTCTCACAACTCTAGATTTCTAACTTACAGGTACAAAATTAGAGATTGAAAAATTAAAACGTTTGTGAAACTATTAACAATATTTCCAAGATTTTTGCTTGTACCATAGCTAATAAAATGTGATCTTCATGCACTTGATACAAATGACTAAAGACAGTATAATATAATATTAGTTTGATGAAAATCTAATTTTAGAAGCTGTTCGAGCCCAGATAATTCTAAAGTGTTCACTATCTTTTCTCATAATGCTACTAGACTGGTAATTCACTGGTAAAATAATGAACATATTGATGAATCCTGTGGTTTGGTGTTCTGTTCTGTTGTCCAGGTCCAGGCCTGGTGTTTATCATTTACCCAGAGGCCATAGCCACGCTGCCTGGCTCTTCAATTTGGGCTGTCATTTTCTTCATCATGCTTCTCACGCTGGGAATCGACAGTGCGGTAAAACACAGAAGGACACAGGCTTGTCCGATTGCTTATGCCTAATGCCCTGTGGCTAATGTGTTAAGACTAATAATTCCATACAATCATTCACCACCATTCCTTTTATCTGTATCATGTAGTGCAGTGATTGGCAAGAAAGTTTTATTTGATGTTAGATTTTTTGTTTAATGGACGAAGGGCTTTTCATCATTATTTGATAGTCTTAAATTGCCGATAATGTGTATAAATTGCCGATAATTAGTTTTATCTAACTTTGCAGTTATAGTGGTCCATCAGGAGTATTTGCTTGGCATTTTCAGATCTAATCATTGAAAGTGGTGTCTACACTGTTTATAACCCAACATCATTAACAATTTTTATGTAGTACCAAGACAAAAGATTATGGTGCAAAATAGCCACTGTTGCTGTCCAAATGTCCTGTTACTTTTGTTTACCAGTACCGGCTATCAGTTAAGAGTACGAAACCTAGATAGGCTAACTTAATTACTGTTTGGCATCTGATGACAGGTGTGAGGTTCATTTTTTTTATTTCTTTGCAGATGGGTGGTATGGAGTCTGTGATCACAGGGCTCATCGATGAATTCAAGTTTCTGCATAGACACAGAGAGCTCTTCACACTCTTCATAGTGGTCTCCACTTTCCTCATCTCCCTCTTCTGTGTTACCAATGTGAGCAAGACAGATACACAACTGAAACATGGGCCAGTTTCCCAGATTAAGATTAAACCTGATCTTAGGCCAGAAAGGGTTTGTGCTATTAATAGTGTAATTTAGTCATAATAATCATTGATCTGTGTCCATGAACTTTACATACTCTCATTTAAAACTCTTTATAATTATGTCCATAATGATTTAAAATTATTTCATTTAAACAATTTAAACTCTAAGAGCACATATGACAGTCCACACTTAATTTATAAATTTATAAAACTACAGAAGTTATACATTAGTTTCATAGCATTAACTCAATAATCTTTAACATTATCACCAACATTCTCAACATTCACCAACAGAATTCTAGTGCTGGCATTAATGTTGGTTTATCTGTGAAACAAATTAATCTGCACAGTATACACATGCGCACAAATTTTTAGTTTTTCATTTTTCCAACACAGTAATTCAGCCTTTCAGCATTTCATTTACGTATGTTTTCATATTATAAAAAATGAGACTAACTTTCTCTCTTGCTCCCCCTCTCTTGTTGTCTTTCCTTCTTTCCATCCTTCATTTTCTCTCACCAGGGTGGCATCTACGTGTTTACTTTGCTGGACCACTTTGCGGCAGGAACATCGATTCTCTTTGGAGTGCTGATTGAAGCCATCGGCATCGCTTGGTTTTACGGTGAGGGCGTGTGGCTCCCCGGCATGGCCAGGGAAGCTGATGCACCATTAGGAGAATGATGGCCTATCAGACAAGAGACGGACAGCTGTGCTCCAGTGCTGCTTCACCTCATTACCGATACGAGTGGCATTACCCAGCAGGATGGCCAGGCTTTAGCTATGGAATGTGGAGTTGTTGACTATGAACACATCTGTTTTATTCTTGTCTAGATACACTGGCCACGCATTTCATTAGAAACACCTACCTTGTAGCTGAACCTTGCATGTATACAGTTAAAAAAAAACTGTAGCTCATCTGTTGTTGCACTGTTCATTACTTATTCTCTAATCCTTTTCTGACCACAGAGCTGCTTTTTTGGGTGGTGGACCTATCAGTGAACCTGACATAGTGATACACACTACAATACCATGTCAGTGTCACTGCTGTGTTAAGAATAGTCCGCCACCCAAAAAGTATCTCGTTTGCAGTGGCCCTGTGGTTGGAAACAGAGGAATAAAGGGCAGCTGACAAACTGTGCGTGCAAGCACATGGGCTACAAGGTATAATACTGTGCAAACGTCAGAGACCACCCTTCATTTGTTCAAATCTGTTTGCATAAGGAAGGAAAAAGTCAAATGAAAATGATTGAAAAAACAGGAATGTCCTAAACTGAAGTTTATTAATTATTAAAAGATATAGAGAAAACCAACTCCTAACAACAGTCCAAGACTTGGTAGCCCACCAACACTATCACCATCAGATAAACAGTACTTAAAGCTTTCATCTTTGAGAGATAGGAGAAAATCAAGCTCCACTCTTGCTTTGATTAAACAAAAAAAATCTGAGAATGTGAGAAGACAACTCAACACTGTGGGTTACAAAGGATGTGTAGCTGTCAAGAAACCATTACTGAGAAAAGGATATAGACATAAAAAATGAAAATGTGCAAATAAAACAAAGATGCAGCTGGTGTTCTCAGATGGACAGAGGACTTGCCATCCCAGAGTCTAGCCTTTGCTATAATTAAATGTGTTAGGGCTTACTTGGATCGTGAGCAGCAGAAAATGCAACCAACATCTAAGGCTGAACTTTGGAGGCAAGTGTAGATTTATTTGAAATGCTGAAAGCAAGTCTCCCAAAAAGAATGGCAGCTATAATATGGGAGATTAAAACGGTTAGACTGGAAATTATATGAATGAAGGGTGTCTCTGACTTTAGCACTGCAGGTGTAGGTTATAAAGTGACCAGTAAGTAAGTACAAGGTTGAGGTTTCTAATAAAGGTGATAAGAGTGTAGTTAACAGAGCTTTTATGGAAAAAAATGAGACAGGTATGTGGACCTAACATTAGATAGTGTATGTATTTACCATGGGTGTCCCAATATGCAGCGAATATTTGTTTAAGTGAGCTCAGCAAGTCCTACAGATGAGTGCATCATCTGCTTTGTACTTGATTTTCATTGCTGCATATGAAAAGTGGGTTCTTGTGAGAGGAGGCTGAACTTTCTGAACATCCCCTGGAGGCGAGCTTGGCTGATGGAAAGACCTGAACTTCAAAGAGCCCACATCAGCTCAGGACAAGCGGGGCAATCAGCTGGCTGAGAGATCAATAGGGGGAGAATACTGGTTGCCCTTCGACCCCAGGGGCTAGCAGGGCACAGGCTGTGGTCCCCAGTAGTGGCTTTTGTTCAGGGCAAGGCATACAAATCTAGCCTGAGGCTTCATGGCCTTTTTGGAAAGGCCCATCGGTAGCGGCAGTCACCTGCGGCTATAACCCTCTGCCACTGACACAGCTTTGCTCTCAGTAAGTAGAAAGTCTCTATGTATTTCTGCTGCAAGCTTTGATTAGTGCCTCGCGGGCAGCAAGGCAATGGAGAGCAGTTTGCTGACCATGGAAGACAATGTGCACACTTCAACCCATTGTCCTCATTTGTTCTTACAAGTGCTCTACGTGAAGCGCTTAAAGTTGTTGTTGTACATAAACATCTATATTTTTGTACAGTTTATTAAAGAAAACCTTCAGCTACCTTGTTTTCCTGTCAAGTGAAGCTGTACGTCCAATCAGTTTAAATGCTGTATGTTTGTGATTTTAGGAGTGGATCGTTTCAGCGATGACATCCAAGAAATGATCGGCCAGCGGCCAGGCTTATACTGGAGACTCTGCTGGAAGTTTGTCAGTCCCTGTTTCCTGCTGGTATGCTTACACATGCTGTTGCACTAGGGGAATAGACAGAGATTTGCTTAAGTTGACAAACAGGGATGTATCGATATGGGAATTGTTGGCTGATGCTGTTATCCAATTTTTTATGTACTTATCTGCCAATGCCGCTGCCAGTCAATAAACATGTAGAAAATTTAGATAAAATAATATTTGTTTCTATAAGGTTACAAATGCAGTAAAATGAATAAATAGCAGATATTTTAGTACAGTAGCCCAGCATCATCTAAACATTCTGCTCTGAAGTACATTCTGAAGTACAATAAATACATCATCAAATATTGGTTTGAAAAGCCAACTGAGCAGTTGATGTAATGCAGGACTGAGGGAGGGACATTGAAGAAGTTGTGAGAAAACAGGTTAATGACATCACCCATATAAAGGCTAAAGTAATACCACTTTTTAGACACCCCTAATCAGATTCACAGGTGCCTCTCAATCAAGCCATTGTGACTTTAAAAATTTAATTTAAGCAATAGGTTCACAAAAAAAACTTTAGTTTTGCATCAGAGCTATGTGAGTAACATTGTGAAAACTCTGCATAACTCATCACAAACTTGCCTCAGATCTCAAACTGCTTAAATGTATTAAGTAATCTCATATAGACATATGGAACTATATGACCACAAGTTTATTTCGGACTAAAACTCCATGCTGTTTGAGCCAAGTCAGTGATTTAGGCTTATAGTGTGTACACTGCTAATTAGTTGTGTATATGTTTCTATTACTTGTTAGCTAGGTTAGCCTCGTAGCTCCATTTCAAAACTAAAGAAACAAACTTCAGACACCAATTCTGGCTTAGTTGCTTGACTACACAGAGGATTCGAGGACAGTTATGTAAATTAGATTTTTTGCTGAACTATCAGTTCAGTGATTGTTTACTAATTGTGTTCATCTCAAAACTGAAAGATCAGGTCATAAAATAACCAAATGTTTCTTTGTATCCTTTTCTTTGTATCCCTTTTCCTTACCATCTAGTTCATGGTGGTTGTCAGCTTTGCAACGTTCAACCCTCCAAAATATGGGTCCTACTACTTTCCCATGTGGGCTAACATGGTTGGCTGGTGTTTGTCCATCTCCTCAATGATCATGGTGCCACTTTATGCCATCTACAAATTCTGCAGTCTGCCAGGAAGCTTCTGTGCTGTACGTCCATCAGAGAACTTTCTTAAAACTAGAGTCAGCGGCCATTTAATGCAGCGGCCACTTAAAGTTTAGATTAATATTCCTAACAAGCAGGGTTCACTCACTACGCTGATAAGAATGTACAGCATAACAATAGATGTACTATAGGGTTGTTCTCTATTGCTGTTGGATCATGCTTTCAATACTTCACATGCTGTATCTCTAAAATAATGGAATAATGATTAATGAACATGGACACTTGCATGCTAGCAGTTGGCATCTTTGCTTAATCAGGCTACAATTTGTTTTTCATACAAACAAGTTTCGTAAATCAGCCATATGAGACGGTTTCCTTCGTTTTCGTTGTAGAAACTGGCATACGCCATCACCCCAGAGACGGAGCACCACATGGTGGAGCGCGGGGAGGTGCGGCAGTTCACGGTAAGGTCCTAGAGTTCCTAAAATCTGTGATGGACAAACGGCTCAAATAAGAAACATGCAGCTATTACAGCCAAAAGGGCTGTTTACATAAATTATATGGGTGAACTTTTAATTATGCTAAATATGACATTTATACCACACAAAGACTGGCTTTAATGGAAGTCTGATTGAAATAGCTGATATGATTTGTGTTATTCTTGTTAGAGAACACTTCAGATTGAACATCAAGTTAAAATTTAACTACATGAATTTGATCAACATCAAACTGAAATTTGTTCTGACCATAGCCATAGTTGACAAATATTCCCCTGTGGTCATATTTTAGAAGACTTATGAAGGCCAGATTTTGCACACTGAGGGGTTGCACTGTGCATTTAACATTAACACACTTTCTATGTATTCGCTCCATGTATTCGCTCCTTTTTGTCTGTAACCTGAAAGGTGAATGTACCTGTATGTTAACTGCTCGTAAACTTTTCTGTTTATTTGAAGCTTCATCACTGGCTGGTGGTCTGAGCGCTGCTACATGTCTGAAAAAACAAGGAGACTTGGCCAGCTCTAGTGGGGGCGGGCTGCTGTGCGCCAAACAAACCGTAAATCTAGTTGTTTCTTTCTTGCGTAATTGAACATGTGGCTGTAAAGTGATTTTTCCGATCACAACATGGTTGACATTCTGTCAATATCAGTTTAAATCTCAGTATAAGATGACTGTTATGATGGCTGATGTTGTCTCCCAATGACTGTTTATTGTTTACTGAATTTTTTTGTGATTAGAGTACAACTGAGCCTTATTGATCAATGTGATTGAAGTGTCAAAAGCTATATACGGAATAAGAATCTAGAAAAAAAACAGTAATGTTTAACTAGTGATATTACATGACATATATATCCTCTTTGTGTTTGAAAAGCAAAATGATGGACAGTACATTTCAATAAATACAAATCCCAGTAGGGTTTAATTCTGTGAAGCCATATATTAAGTATCAACTATTGGGCAAATGGGATGCAGTTTTGCCCATGCTGTAATTATTTGCAGTTCTATTACAAATGTTTTCTGACCTCAGATGTTTGGTGTGATTTATACAGAAACCAGACACCAAAAAACATTTCAAATATATAGAAAAAACCTGTAGCCATTTAGGTTATAAAGGTTCTGGTACTTTTGTGAGTTGTTTAGTTTACATACAGAGCATTTTATTTTAAACCATAGAGCTGCTAAAGTATCTGTACATATTCTGCAATCCTGAAATTAAGAGTATTGAATGGCTAATGGCATTTACCAGGCAGTATACACAGTATGAATATGTCTTTATTCATGAGAACAACTTTGTTTATCACATTTGAAAGGTCTTTAATTTATCCACTAAGTTAATACCTTTGAGTGACTGCTGAAATCTGCCACCCACTGTAAAAGATCAATAAAGAATTCATGTATAAACAGTTTTTGAAAATTTGTCTTCTGTTATGCATCCATACTGGTGTGTCTGATTTTCACTTTAGCTAATAAATGTATTATCTCTCTTCTGTTGCATGTTACAAAAAACACTAGGACTATATGATCTCATAGATACTCACTGATAGTCCAGATAAAAAATAGAGCCTGACCAATATATTCTTTAGCCTAATATTGACAACTAATGTCAGTTTATCAGACAATGTGCTGATAATTAGTGCTTTCCTTTTTCCTTTTTCTTTTTAAAGTTATGATTGGGATTCAACCCCACGAGCTCCTGATAATAGGGCAAAATCTTAATAGCTGTAAGGCCAGTTACTGACAGGTTTTATAATGCTGTTACTCACTGACATTCACATTTCTTGGTGGTCTTTAAAGAGACTGCTAAGCTTCCAGTCACCGCCTACTAACATATAGCAATACAGGCTGAACCAATGAATTTGAATGCAAAAACCATAATAGTTAAAAAAATATTAAAATATGTCAAACCTAAGCTTTAGCAGGAGGATAACCTGCTAGACCCCAAAAAACTCCATGAAGAGAATTGATATAAAAATAAAAAATTAGGAGTCAATTAATAGAAATCAAAACTGCAAAGAATTCTGGGCAGCTGTGCTCCCAGTGCTACAATATTTAAGACTTTAAATAAGTTTCTGCTGTTTGAGATTAAGAAATTTGAGAACTGACCATTATCTTTCATCGTTCATAGTTGATAACTGAATCTTATATCAGAAAATAAAATACTGTTTGACTAAAACTATTTGAATAAAAAATATAAAATATGGCATATTGACTAATATTACCAGTTATTTGACTTTTTAGCCCTTTAAAATCAATATGAGTTTTAGTCACAATGCAGAATATAAATAAAAATAGAATGCAATGATATGCAAATCATTTTTTTAAAGGGAAAAATAAATGCCCATTTTGAATTTGATGCTAACAACACATTCCAAAAAAGTTGGGACAGGGGCATGTTTACCACCGTGTTTCATCACCTCTTCTTTTAACAACACTCTGTAAGCGTTTGGGAACTGAAGAGACCAAGTGATATAGTTTTGAAAGTGAAATGTTTTCCCATTCTGGTTTGATATAGGATTTTAACTGCTCAACAGTTCGGGGGCTCATTTGTTGTATTTTTCATTTCATAACCTTTCAAATGTTATCAGTGGGTGAGAGATCTGGACTGCAGGCATGTCAGTTTAGCTCCTGAACTCTTTTAATATGGAGCCATGCTGTTGTAATACATGTAGAATGTGATTTGGCATTGTCTTGCTGAAATAAACAAGGCCTTCCCCGAAGGACACGTTGTCTGGGTGGCAGCATATGTTGCCAAAACATGTATATATCATTCAGTATTAATGGTGCCTTCACAGATGTGCACATCACCCATGCCATGTGCACTAATGTACCCCTATACCATCATGAGCACTGGCGTTTGAACTGTGCACTGATAACAAGCTGAGTGGTCTTTAGCCCGGAGGACACAGTGTCCATGATTTCCAAAAAGAATTTCAAATGTTGATTCATCAGACCACAGCACACTTTTCCACGTCCCCTCAGTCCATTTTAAATGAGCTCGGGCCCAGAGAAGGTGACAGCATTCCTGGATCCTGTTTATATCAGGTTTCTTCTTTGTGTTGTAGAGTTTTAACTTGCTTTTGTGGATGCAGTGTTGAACTGTTTTCACAGACAGTGGTTTTCAGAAGTGTTCCTGAGCCCATGCAGTGATTTCCTCTACAGAATCGTGTCTGTTTTTAATGCAGTGCTGCCTGAGGGCCCGAAGATCACAGCCAGCAAATACTGGTTTTTAGGCTTGTCTCTTGCATACAGAGAATTCTCCAGATTCTCTGAATCTTTTAATGATATTATGTACCGTAGATGATGAAAAGCAAAAGTTCTTTGCTATTTTATGTTGAAACATTATTCTTGAATTGTTGCACTATTTGCTTGCGCAGTCTTTCAGAGTGGTGAACCCCTCCTCATCTTTACCTCTGAAAGGCTCAGCCTCTCTGCGATGCTCATTTTATACCCAATTATGTTACTGACCTGTTGCCAATTAACCTTCAGGTGTTTTTTTAGCATTACAACTTTACCTGCCTTTTGTTGCTTCTGAATACTACAAAGATTATTCAGATGAATGTTTAATAAATCTTGCACAAATAGCACGTAATCCGATGTAATTACCTGCATGGTCTTCTTTTCAAAAATATAAAACAAGTCACACTAAAGCTTTAATATGATGCAGTGACTTTATAAGAAAAGTATGAGGGGAAAAAAAGTCCAACTTCAGAATGACTCTTAATTTCTCACTGCTTCTAAAACTTCGCCTATATGTCACAGCAGGGTTGGATATGCTATATAGACTATAAGTCCTTAGTGGGTGATGACAGATGTTCCTATAATTCATCTATCTGTCAAGACCAGACAAGTATCATTAAAAACGTATGTCCTCCAAGACTGCTATCTCTTTATAAAGACAGTTTTTCTTCTTATTCATTTCACTGTATAAATCATAATCCACCCTGCTGGTTCCCATCTTCTCTCTTGATGAACATCAGCTCTCCGTCTGACTGTGTGATCCGTGTCTAGTCTCTCCGCTCTTCCTCGTTGGCCTCACTGTGATTGTCTTTCTCATCCTGCACATCTCATCTTCTCCTTTTAGCCTGTAGTTTTGCAGAGCTGCTCTTTGCTGGATATTTTTGGATGGTGGACCACTCTCAACCTAACACTGACACTTTAAAAGTCCCAGAAACACCACTGTGCCTGTCATACCAGCACCACATAAACTATCAAGTCAAGGTCACTGCTGTGTTGGGAATGGTCCACTATAATATCTGTTATAATATAATACCAAATAATATCTGTTTAACAGCAGTCCTGTAGCCAGAAACAGACCAATGATGAATGGATTAGAGAGCATCTGGATTGTGTGTGACCACAGATGGGCTTTATTCTGTAATTGTACATCTATACAGTGGGCCTATAAGGCAAAATAAGTTTGCAATTAAGTGCAAGTTCAGCTTTCAAAGCCATTTTGTCATTTACTGACCGTCTTAAACACTAACTGCCCATACAGAAATGTAACAAGATGAAAAAATATTACAATATACATTTTTAAGTATAGTATGGAATACATTGACAGTATACTGCATTATATTCTATTTGTGTATGGGGGATTCCAGTTTAGCATTCATCATCTACCACCTTTATCTCAGCACTAATAAAGCCTGCTGCCTGCAAAAAGAACACAAGCACAGGGCCTCTGTTCTTCTGCTTCTGGCATGGGCTGAGCAGCTAGCACAAAGGCCTAGACATTAACACTGTTAAAACAAATAGTCTGCTAATCTCTACTGCCTTTCAGTCCTTGGACTCCTGCTCCCTAAACTCAGCTAATTGAACTGATACTCAAGCAGTTGCACAGTAAAACAGGGTCATGTGCCTGCACAAATACAGAATTGATAAATATACAGACATACAGCATAATTTCTAATATAAATAAAGAGTTAATGGAACTGGCTTGAGTTGAGCCGTCACATTTTTTTTACATTTCACACAAACAAAGAACAGGTTTTGGTAGGGATGACAGCTTACCTGTTTGTCCTTTTGCTGAACCTTGATTTTCTGGAGTCTGGAGACTGGAGGTAACTTGCTTGTATGTCTTCTCACTCTCATAGCTGACTCGTCAGATGTCTCTTCCCTACAATTCAACATAATATATCCATACAAAGTTCTCTAAAGTTTGACATGTCAACCAGTATATCCATAATATACTGCTAATATATCAACCCTCTGTTTTAACAGAGGTCTGTAACATTCTCTTTAATGCCTATATTAGCAAAACACAGGTTATCACCAACTGGCTCACTGCAAATGCAAATCCATCATTTTAAATCATCACTTTGGTTTATTGACATACGCAAAGCACATTGTATCTCTAGCACACTTGCTTGTCAATAAACCCACTTGACCAGAAGGCCACATTCTTACATAACAAGACGCTTCCCGCTTAATAAAAAGGAAGGCTGCCGGCTGGAGTGGACAAATAATTGTTTCGGCCACTTTGGAGATGGCTCCCGTGCTCCTGAATCTCACCTGCTGATTACGGAGATGGGGCCCAATCTGAAATGTATTTGGCGGCCCCTCACTGGTGCCCAGGCTGCTGGAGGCAGTGGGGGTTTGGAACACCTGAGCTCAAGCAGGTAAATGGAATTATGGTGGAGGTGCAGGAGAAGCAAAACTGTGCATTAGGCTAACAAAACGAGCGGATCTGGCACATTAGAGACATTAGGGCTGGCGATCGAAGCCTGTCTGCGGCTGGAGACACCTGACACAGATGTCATCTTCAGCAGATGCAATACACAAACAGTGCTGAGAGCTGAATGTGGCCTGATTACCATAATGTACTTCAAGGCAGGGGGGGATTTTCATGTTGTTTGACCTGAAGCATGACCACTCTGACCAAACTCATATAGATAATTAATTGGTCACAATCATGCTTGCCAAATAATACTATATTTTTAGGTGAGCTTATGAATAGTGTGCTAGCATGACTCATAATTTGCCAGTTACATATATACGTCAATCTAAGTTATCATAAA